CCAAGAGAACAAGACACTGAAGAATGTTCTTGGAAGAACAAGAATCACGGAAATTAGAGAGAGAGGAAGAAGCTAGCTGATCTCTCTTGTTTTTTTCCTCATTTTTATTTGCTTTAGGGCAAAAAACTGACTAACTAGCCACCAGCAATAACGCAAATAACTAACATCGACATCAACATCAACAAAATAACTGTCAAGATTCCCTTGACATTCCCTATTGATTACAATCAAGAATTGCTAACTCTGATAATCAATCATCAAACCATGCAAAAATAACAAAATAACTCAATAATGCATCAGAATCCAAATTAATTTCGTGCGTTAATTATATAAAAAATGTACATCACAACATATGTCTACACAGTTTAGGGAAAATTCTTAAATTGTGATGAAAAAAAAAAGTTATTCTACAAAGGGGGTAATTTGTGGAGTTCGTTCCTGACTTGTGATCTTCGCATTTGTAAAATGCGAGTTCAGGTACCTCGCATTTCACAAATGCGAGGTAAGTCTTTTCACGAAAAAAGAAAAAGAAGATCGCATTCTCCAAATGCGAGCTTACTCAGCTCGCATTAGGAGAATGCGAGATTAGGGACCTCGCATTTCATAAATGCGAGGTACTCAATTTGAAATCAATCAGACTTCCCAATTTCGCATTCCTCTTCCGTCGTGGCTACCTGTACTCTTTCCGTGCAGCCTTTCACTCTCAAAATTATCTTGGTCTGAGCTTTGTCATCGGAAAGCAGAGCCACAGCTTTGTCGTCGGAATCTGTCGGCCTTCTCCTCGGAAGCTCTGCAATGTTGTAGAGTTGCGGCGTTTCTCCTCGGGCGAAACCAGAAAGGCGGCATTTCTTCCCGTCCGAAGCTGTCATCGGAAGCTCTCTGCCATTGCAGAGCTTCCCCTTTGGGAACCCATCTCTGGTAGCTAGCTCCATTTAAGTCCGGTATCCGTCTTTCTCCATTTACCATTCCTTTCACCAGAAACAGCATAAGAGGTAAGATTTTTTTTTTTCTGAGTTTTAATTTTTTTCTGGGATTTTTTGTTTTTACGAATTGAAGTGGCTTTTATGATTTGGTAATTTATTGGACATTGTTGTTGTTTCGGTTGGCAATTTATTTGTGACATTGCATTGCTTGTTATCGGAGCTAAGTTTCTTCTTGTGGTTGATTACAAGAATGGGCTGTCCTAAGTTTCGGTTGGTGTAATGATAAATGTAGACAATAAAGAAGATAGCATGTCAGATACCTTAAAGATGAATCATGCTATGAAAATTCATAAAGGACAGGAATCTTTTTACGTGCACACAATGCGCAGGAGTGCTTGAATATCCTCATATAATAAATTTTTTTTGATCTAGCAATTAAAGATCTAGCAAGTAAATCTGATATAACTTTTAAGATCATGCTATCCTTTGAATTTTTTCCCCTGTTGCTGTCTGTACTTTGAAAAATAAATGGAGTAAGAATTTGTTTATGCACTTACAAAAAATTAAAATAAAAACAATTTATTTACACACTTTCGAATTTATCCATTAATTCTTTGTCTATCCTTTTCATTTTTCATTTTTGCAATTGAAGCATGTTAATTACTTAATCTTCTTATGCCAAGTTGTTATTAAGTTATCCTTAATGGTGTAACAATGTTTTGGACAAATCAAATGTTGGAAAAAAAAATCTAAGTCCATAATGACAACAACTACTCAAACAATTATACTTGAATTTAAACACTCTTATCCTTCCAAATTTTTAAACCCTGTATACGAAGTTTATATTAAGCACCATTTACTAAAGCTAACATTTATGGAGAAAATTCTTAAAGTGTGATGAAAAAAAAGTTATTCTACAAATGGGGTAATTTTTGAGACTTGTGATCTTCGCATTTGTGAAATGCGAGTTCTGATACTTCGCATTTCACAAATGCGAGTTCTGATACTTCGCATTTCACAAATGCGAGTTCTGATACTTCGCATTTCACAAATGCGAGGTCAGTCTTTTACGAAAAAAAGAAAAATAATGCGGTTGCATCCACATACTTTTTCTTTTATTTTGATTAATTTTGCTGGAGGTTAGCAGTTAGCTATTGCTTTCATGTGGAGGCAACATGGGATTAACGTGGATCAATATTGTATTGCAGAAACATGAAAGAGAAAAAAAGGAAAAACAGCAATCAATATTGCATTCCAGAAACATGAAAGAGAAAAAAAAAGGAAAAGCAGCAATCTAAGAACCATAGCTAGTTAATGCCAAGTTCTAAGTAGCTAGCTAGCCTACCAAAAAAATAAAATCTTTAAGAAGCCATGCCGAAGCTGCAAAGAAACTTTGTCCTGGCTTTCTTAGTATTTAGTCTAAAACACCCTGCCTCAAAGATATTAGTTGTCGCATGTGGTGATTACAGTATTGCTTAATTGGTTTATAGGTTTGGACTTAGTTAAAGTTTTCCTTAAGCATATGGTATGATAGGCTTCATGAAGTTGCCCAGTTTTTTTTACAGAAATGGAGCAGAGGATCTGCCTAGTTGGTGGGCTATCATGCTATTACAATGTCTACACATTTGACTGCTATGTGTTTTATCATAGTCTACGGTATCTGAGTAGCTTCTGGTATAATTTCTACTTTTACTGCTACTAGGGGCATCTGTACTTGGAAGTACTGGCACCCTCATGCTATCCATGCTAGCTTTAGGATCCATCACACTTTCCTACAAACTCTGGAGAAAATTCTTAAATTGTGATGAAAAAAAAAAGTTATTCTACAAAGGGGGTGATTTGTGAAGTTGGTTCCATAAATGTGATTTTCGCATTTGTGAAATGCGAGTTCAGGTTTTGTGCTCATACATTTTGCTTTTACTCAGGAAAAGTAATTAAAAATATGGCTTGGTAGCAGCAAAACTTTTTTTGTTTATTTTCTTTTTAATGGACTGACTATAACCATTACTTGCTAATTGTCGATATGAAAATGATGCTATATATATCAGATTCAAGCCATAGTTAAATTGTTTGGCATTAAAAGTGAAGGAAATGGTAAAGAGCATAAACTGTAAGACTCGCATATGAGAAATGCGAACCTAGCACAGATCGCATTTATAGAATGCGAACACCTCCCTTGTCGGAATAGGACACCAAAGTAACCCCCTTCGTGGACCTTTTTTATTTTCTATAAGTATGTTTTCTATACCTATGTTATTTAGTTTACCAACGCATATTTTCTTTGAAATTGGGGGAATAGATCCAAAAAGGTATATCGGAACAAGCAAGATCTACGGGAACGAGGTGGTTCATCTGAACAAATCCCTCATTGCACCCCAGATCCTCTGCTCCAGTACCTTATCTTGGTTTTCTGTGATCTCCATCATATTCATGTAGGTGCATACAAAGTTTTCGACACAAGCCAGGAGACTTGAAGAGGCTTTGATTGGTGCCACTAGGAAGTTGTACGCACAAGTGCATCTTCAGAATCTGAGGCAAATCATTGGGTAAGTCATGTAGTTTACAAGTAGATTTAATTGTAGTCATATTAATGTTCTAATTTTTTGAACTTTGCTTGGATTCGTTTTATGGTGAATTCATGAATGTAAAGTGAGACCCTTTACTGTAGTATATTTTTGAATTGCATGTTATGTTGGTTGACAGGGGAGTATAAGAAATTATTGTTGTTTCACACTCTACTATATACATTATATTATTATTGTAGGTTTGTCAAATATCACAGTTCCTTGTCTTCTATAAGAAATTATTGTATATGAAATTATTCTACCGTATTTGCAGTGGTGTAAATTATCTCATATTTCTCAATTGTTTGAAAATCGATGTGCCTATGTTGGTTGGCAGGGAGTTTTAACCAGTTACAGGGGAAACTCTGTCAAAATTTTTTTAAAATATTTTTGGGTGGTTTTGATTAGTTATTGCCTTAAGAGTATAATAAGACAAATTGGCGACAATATGGACTCAAAAGGGGGGGTGCTTGGAAACGTTAAATAAAACAAGATATCTGCCTACATTTAATAAACTTATACTCCATTTAATTAGGAATTCTTGACTAACATTTTGGCATGATGCGTAATAATGTATAGGCGGTTAGAGGGAATATTAACTTAGGTATAGAACTAAAAATATGTATACAAGACAAGCATGTATCACATTTGCTTGTACTACTAAAATATGAGAAAATTCTTAAATTGTGATGAAAAAAAAAGATATTCTACAAAGGGGCTAATTTCATGCCAACTTGTTATTAATGACAAGAACTACTCAAACAATTATACTTGAATTTACGCACCCTTATCCTTACAAATTTTTAAACCCTGTGTACGAACTTTATATTACACACCCCTTACTAAAGCTAACATTTATGGAGGTAAAGGCAAGGTTTGAAGTGAAAATGCTTAATATTCCCGCTCCACTACTTTTGTCTTTTATACCAATCCTATATTTAGTATCGATATTTGGAACCTATACCTTTTGCTAAAAACAGTGGGAAAATATAAACTATTTATGATTTGACAATTCTAGTTATTATTAATTCCCTAAACACCCCTTTTCTCGATTTTTAGTCTTCTTACGTTAACCTCTGTTTAAATTATCCTCATCATTCTAACCATTATATATGCAAAAAACAAGAGGATAATAAAACTATACCTACATAGTTGAATGTGATGCAAAGTTTAGATTTGGTGTGAAATTTGGATAAAAAAATGATGTGGGTTGTGCTATTTTGTTCCATTTTTCCTGGGTAATTCAGTGGTAAATTTGGACCACATAAAAAAGTAGGGATTGTTATTTGTTATATATTCTTGTACCACATGAGCTAACTTATTTTATTCCAAAATAGGGATTCTTTTCACACGTATGTCTATAGAAAGACTTGTGCGAGTGTCTCTTTATTGGGGAGGTAGAATACACTACGAGGATGGGTCAATTTGTTACTTGCCTCGTACGTGCAACTGTACATTCTCATTACGATCCAAAATTGGATATGATGAGTTGGTGGATAGAATTTATCAATATATGGGGGTCGATAGGGGGTTGTTCAAGTTGAATATATTTCTCCGCCAACCTTGTGGTCGGAGCTCTTATAATGTCTCCCCAGTGGTGGATGATGAAACTCTGGAGATAATGTATGATGTATGGAACGAAATTGTTCCATACATCGCAGAACTTTATATCGAGAAGGAGGAAATATTCCAAAATCCTCGAGTCACCGGGACATTCATTTCACCAAATACCAATTGTGGTCCGATGATGTCGCTTGTCCATGCATGCATAGATCCAACAAGGTTTCGACCAAACTTTAGTACATCAGTACCTGAGACAGCATCGGTATCACAATTGGCCAAGGGGGATTGTGTTAGGGATTCGTTAGAGCCACGTCTTCCATCAGGCTTAAGGACGGATGTTGAATCTGTTCAAGGCCTAAACTCGATTCAAAGTTTTAGAGATCGAGAATCACCGGAACATGTTGGTAGTTATGGCTTGGATTTCACTGCCGGTCCAAGTCATTGTAACAGCCCCCTAGCTGATGATTCAGAGCATGATGTGGAAGATGTACAGAAATCTGAGTCGGTTGATGTGTCAGGCAGTGACTCAGATGGCGAAATTGAACAACGTGGAGTCCACCAGGATGTCGAGAACCATCAGCCCTTTGATGCATTTGGCAACCTCTCATATGCTCCACGAGGATTGAAATTTTTCTCTAATCTTGGAAACATAGATGATGACGAGCATCTCACTGATGAAAGTGAGTTGGAGCGCAATGTGATATTCAGTGAGGAGAAAAATAATATAAGGATGCATATGAGATTTGAAAGCAAACAACAGCTGAGCAGGGCTATTAGAATGTGGTCTATCAATAATAATAGGGAGTTCAGGGTTGTTGAGAGTAAGAGTAACACCTGGGTTGCCAAATGTAAATCTGCAGTTCAAAGAAGTTTCACCACTGCGGCCGACTCATCGGAACCTCCATGCGACTGGTGTGTCCGAGCAGTGAAAAAAAAGACACATGGATTGTGGCAAATAACTAAGTGGGTGAACGATCACAATTGTCTAGGTGATTTGATCAGTAATAGCAATGCTAGCCTCACATCGTCGGTTATTACTAGACACATTGTTCATAACATTGAAGACGATCCTGGGTACAAAGTAAAGAGTATAGTAAGTCATGTTAAAGAAGTGCTGAAGGTGGATGTTTCTTATAAAAATGCTTGGTACGGCAGACGCAAAGCTATTGAACTTGTATTTGGTTCTTGGGATGCCAATTTTGCCGACCTACCAAGATATGTTGATGCACTTATGAAGTCAAATCAGGATACTGTGATCAGGTGGTTGCACCGTTCTGATAGTACGGATCACGTGAAGACATTTAAATATGTGTTCTGGGCCTTTGGACCGGCTATTGATGCATTTCACATGTGTCGACCGGTTATATGTGTTGATGGCACGCATTTGCGTGGCGAATATAAAGGCAAACTACTTGTTGCAGTCACGCAAGATGCCAACAACAGGATTATTCCAATAGCTTATGCCATTGTCGACGAAGAGACTATTTCTAATTGGTCTTGGTTCATGGAGCAATTTAGGTACCACGTGGCCCGTGATCGGTGTCCTATTTGTGTCATTTCAGATCGGCATAATGGTATCATTCATGCCATGACACATTTTGACTATTGGCAGGAACCTTTGGCATTTCATAGGTATTGCCTGCGACACGTTAGGAGTAACCTAATGACTCACTTCAAAGGTTTGCACCTAAAAAGGTTGTGTTGGGCAATGGGAAGAGCCAGACAATTGCGCAAGTGGCGGGCATTCAAACGGGAATTGCGGAGCACGTTTCCAGGCGCATGGACTTATCTGTCTAACATTGAAATCGAAAAGTGGTGTCTAACACATGACGGTGAGCATCGGTGGGGTATTTTGACAACCAACATATCCGAAAGTTATACTAATGTACTTAGAGAAGCACGTCATTTGCCTATCCGGGCTTGTATTGATTTGACTTTTCATCGGACAGTTGAGTTGTTTAAAACAAGAAGGGAGGAGGCCAGACATTGCCGTAATCCATTTCCTCCTAAGATATGGCGGAAGTTTAAGAATTCGGATCAGAAAGCGGGATGTCACAGGGTTGTTGAGTTCGATGGCTCTTCCGGGGTGTATAAAGTTGTTACAGGCCGACGTGTGGATGGCAAAGGGGGTAATACACAAACGGTCAAATATTTTGAAAACACTTGCTCTTGTGGTAAGTGGCAGTGTTACAGACTGCCCTGTTCGCACGTGTTGGCTGTGTGCAGGCATCGAAGGGATAATCCAGGAGCGCTTGTAGACCCTCAGTTCACAAAAAGGCGATGGGCAGTGCAGTATTCAGGAAAGTTTAACCCTTTGCCACATCGGGATACTTGGCTCCAACCAGATTGGGAGCTGCAGGCAGATAGAAGTAAATATGTTGCCCGTCGGGCGGGAAGGATACGAGCTAGAAGAATTCGAAATGAGATGGATGAGAGAGACCTTGAGGAACTAAGAAGGTGTACAAATTGTCATCAGTCGGGCCACAATTGAAGAAATTCCCTGTACTAAACTGTTAAATTCCCTGTACTTCACTTTTAAATTCCACCAACGGCCTTAGTAAAAGTTTTTTTCTTTTGGTATTATCTGAAAAATGGATTAAAAAAAAGAGAAAAAAAGGTCGTCGGACTTTAAGTTGGACAGCCTATCATATGGTCCCTTGTGTCACTTAATTTAGTAATTCATAACCACGTCATTGTGGAGTTGTATTATAATTTGATATTGAAGCATGTAGAAAGTTTAACTCTAATTCAAGTACTTCCATTTGGCGAAATGGGATGAATTTTTGGCACGTTTGATTACTTGGTGAAGTGAAGTGAGAATTTGACAGAAGCTTCCAAAACATGTTTCTCAGTTGTTGAACAAATCTTATTGTTTGTCTTGTCAGGTTAATATAACAGGTTAACATAGATATAATAACCATGACTCTTTCAATAATAATCTCATACTACCATTTATCATAGTTGCCAGTCTTTCAATAGATGTGCTATTATAGGTAAACACTTAATCCTATAATTAGAAAACTTTATTAACCAAAGTGCAGTGACACAAAGATTCTATAATGAAACAGAATTTTATTTTCTGTACAGCAAGGTTTTTTTCTTTCTTTGGCCAAAGCTTTTTCTGCTTATGTCTACAGTGACCAAATGTTTATACATATCTGGTTTCTATCTTTTTGGTTTAAATTCTTCAAATCATCTTTTCTACAATCCACCATTAGTGTATTTGACAGAAGCTCAAATGCTAGTCCACATATGAAATAATATAAGTCCCTTGCTAGAGCAGGGCTACTAAATCATTCCGTGACCTCCTGTTTCTGAAAGCCCTTTTACTTCCATTAGATCGAAAACCTTTTGTCCGTGGGTCACAATTGAAAACCTTTTGAGGAGATTAATTAGGTGTTGTTTGATTTAATCAGTTTTGGTCAACGAAGCAACGTTGCAAACTTGAGTCAGTTGACAATGCCACCTAGGAATGCAAAAGGAGGCACACGAAAGAGGAGTCGGGACCAAAACAGCACTGCTAGCACCAGTGCAGGCCCCAACTTCGATGTTAGTAGGTTCACTTCAGTTGAAAATCAAGATTGGTATCTCGTTCGTGCTAATTATACAGTTCTAGTTGAAGTGGACCTTGATCCTGTCTTTGATCGGAAATTTCACTTTCGAGAACAGTTTGCAACAATGGGGTGGGACTGTATGTTGAATCTACCTCGACGGTATTACCCAAATTTGGTGCGGCAATTCTATGCTAACATCTCGAATAAAGGGTTTGTCAATTCTGTAGAACTACAGAGTTATGTGAAAGGGGTACATATAACTCTAACGAGACAGACTCTGTCCGAGATTTTAAGAGGTGATGACGAGGGTCCCGTGTTTGAACATGGAAAGTACATAGTCCGAGGGGATCCAACATGGCAATTCGAGGTCACTCTCCCTAAGTATACCAATAGCTTTAGTTCTTTTAAAACCATAGTGGATCCTGTCACGGGGGACTCAAGAATGGAATCAACACCTATTCCCACTAAGAGTCTTACGCTCCGGCACAGTTTATTGGTATATTTGTTGAACCACAACATTCTGCCGGCTTCAAGCAGCAAGAATGAAGTCCGGGTAATGGATGTGTATTTCCTAGACAAATTAGAGGCTGGTTTAGGCAATGTATCAGGGATTCCGATATCCACAATCATACTCGGTGCCATGTCAAGAACTGCAGGGTTTAAGGGGGCTAAGAAAGCACTACCCTATGCTAGGACACTAACGCGTATCTTTGAGCACTTCGGTGTAAATTTGATTGGCGAATCGTACAACACTGCATCAGCAATAGTGAACCAAGCCACAATGGACCGAATTGCCTATCGCGATGAAACGGAATTGGGTGAGGAAGAACAACAAGAAGAGGGCGAAAACAGGCAGGCCACAACTGATGCAGGGTCTTCTCAGGCTACAAATGGGCGAACAATTCAAGACATGATTGGAGCTGTGATCACTGAGATGCGTGCAATGCGTGAAGTGGTTGATCGGTTGGATGGGAGAGTACATGCAGTCGAGGGGCGATTGTCTGCGATCGAAGACAGATTGGAGGCATTGAGTGGTGGTTAAAACACAAGCCGAGTGGAGCGAAATGAACACGGAAATTAGTCACAGGCTATAATCTTTGTTTTTAGATTAATCTTTTGTAGCTAATGTGCTACGCATATGTTACAAGTCTAACACAGTTGACATGTCAATATATTGTTATTTCAATGTAGGACTTATTGTTCAGATTAAGTGTTGTCTATTTTGGATTTGCTGGCAGGGAGTTTAGGCCACTTTTAAGGGGAGACTCTGTCAAATTTTTTCCAAAAATAAAAAGTAAATGTATATATGTATGTATATTAATCACAATAAATTACAATAAACAAATAAGCAAATCTAAGTTATAAATAATCTAAGCAAATGTAAGTTATAAATAATCACGTAATAATCATTTCATAAAGGGTTAATGCAAATAACCCCTACAAACTATATTTTTATATATTTATAATATATTTGTATAAATATTATATATTTTTATAAATTAAATATAATATAAATATGTAATTATACATTTATTTAAATATTATATATTTAACATATATATAATATATATTATACATTTATGTATACGTATTTATGTAATTATACATTTGTATGCATTTATATTAACATTTATGTATATTTATAATATACATTAATATTATGTATTATGTATAATATAATACATTTATACATTTATATTAATATACATAATATTAATAATACATTTATATTAATTATATTAATACATTTATACATAAATTTAATATATGTATTTATAATATATTAATTTATACATTTATATAATATTCATTTTTAATTTATACAATTAATACATTTATATTATATTTATATTATGTATTATATACAATATAATATATTTTTGTATTTTTATATAAATATATAAATATATTTATTTATAAATATTTATAAATTTATTACAAACACATAAATGTATATAAATATTTAAACAATAAAAATTTTAAATTACAAATAATATGAATTATACATTTATAAATAATATTAATATATATTTATAAATTATAATTTATAGATTTATATAATATTCAAATATAATTTATATTAATTATACATTTATAAATATATTTATATTACGTATACATTTATAAATACATTTACAGATTTTTTTATCAATACGTAAATACATTTATTTACAAATATTTATAAATGTATTATAAATGTCATTTAAGAAATTTAACTTTTCCACTACATAATAGCAAATTAGAGAAATTGATTAATCAATTATTAGTAGTATCAATAACAAAAAAATAAAATACTATTCTTGTTCATTCTTATTATTTATTTCACTGTAAATAATAATTGCTAACTTTTCTTTTTATGTGGTATATAATAAGTTACTTTTAATATAAGTAGTTGACTAACTACGAATTCTCAATTAGTTTATAGATACTTAAATTATTGAATTACTAGATTAATGCACTTTGCAAAAATTGTTGACGTACTAGATTAATACACTTTACAATATCAGCTACATATATTTTTTAACAACAAAGAGTTTATGGTAAATTATTAAGAATGAATTTAACAAATACACAAATTTTAAAAGTAATTTAAAAAATATTTGAATTTTTTTATGCAATTTTTCTAGGAATTCGTATTTATCGGATGCAAGATAAAGTCCAACCAAAAAGCTTGCTAGATTGGTTAAGATTTATTCCCCCAAATTATTATCAACTATTGATGTCAATATTATGGGATCTTTTTTTTTTCCAGTTGTGATGAATTTAGAGCCTTAAGTAGTAAAATTTGTAGAAATTTGCAATGAAATCATAAAGCAAGAGAAAATGGCATTACAACTGAAGCAAAAAGAAAAATTTTTAGGCAAAATCTAGAATCCTGTTGTTGGAAAGCAAACAACATAGGTACATAGTGAATACTGATCACTAGCAATAATCATAAGTGTAAAATTGCAGCTTGCAGCGCCCACTGGACAACGGAGGCTTTGTGGTTTGATGCGAGGTACATGACCTCGCATTTCAGAAATGCGAGGTACATATACCTCGCATTTGTGAAATGCGAAGTCATGCACCTCGCATTTCAGCTTTTGTTTTTTGATTTTTTTTTTTAATTTCGGTGGTAGAAAATTGAAGGAGAGTTCGCATTCAGCAAATGCGAGCTCAAGGGACTCGCATTTGATGAATGCGAAGATCCTAAAAACAGAAACCAGTACACAAAATACCCCCTTTGTAGAATTTTTTTTAAAAATCATCATAATTTTAGGAATTTTTCCACAGTTTAGCACCTTGAACGAGATCATGCATGCATGCACACATGCATGGCAAGTAGAAAACAATACAAGAAACAAGAAGAATTAAGATGTATGCAAAATAATTACCTCGCTAAATGGCTTGATCCCAAGATGTGAAGTAACTGCAACTTGTTTGAGATTTTAGAATTTCTAGGGTGGACAAAGACAAAATGGCCTCCTATTTATAATGACCTTTTGACTGAAAATTGGGTTTCAAGAACTTCCAATTTCTGCTTTTGGAAGGTGGACAAAGTTTCGTGCATGTCCAACCTTATGGAAGCTTTCTATATATTTCCTTTGATGTATTTCATTTTAGGAAACCACTCTAATCCTTTTCAAGTCATGAAAACGAAGAATTAACAAATCTGAAGTAATATCTAATTGTAAACGTGCAACGCAACTAGAATATGAATTTTGGTTTATATTCTTGTGACTTTAGTTTAATGTTGGAAAATATGTTACTCAGAACATATATGGAACTTTGATTTGAATCTATCAAACTCTATTAACTTTTGCTTGGATTTGTTCAAAGTGGTGAAAAGTGGAAATGAAGAGAAATAGAATATAGAGTTAGATTGGTTCAAACATTTTTAGGTTTTAATTTTCTCCTAACCAAACTTGAAAACTTAATCTTCGAAGTAGTTAGCAAACCAACGTATTGAAATTTACTCAAGAATCATAAGAATTATGCATAATATTTATTGATCAACATGAATAGGTACCATCACTCAATGGTAATAGAAATAAGTGTAGTATTAATTATGTTCTTTATTGGTTAAGATTGAGGCGCATAGAAATTAGAGATCCTGACTTCTAATTCTTCTTTCCTCTTTCTATTTCTTGAATCTCAACCCTCTCATCTAAATAATTATAAAAAAAATCAATGTTACGCTTATCTTTTCTGTTCATGGTTGGAAAACATGGTCGATTAAGTGGTGATAACGTATTATATGAAAAAAAAATTTCTTATTGTTCAGAAACTTTATAGTTCCATTAATTTTTAATGGCATATAGTTTCATTTTTGTGAGGAAGCTTCTTTTCCATTTAGCCGCGGACAAAATATCAAGTCCATTGCAAGGAAGCCTAAGCAACAGTCATGAGAATTGAGTTGAAAACCTTAAAAGTAGAATTTACAGGGATGGAACAGATGAAATAAATAAAACAAAAGCAAAATTTTGTCCAAAAACTTTCCAATGTATACATGCAAGTTTCAGCGCACCAGTTTGAGTTATATTAGTATAATATCTTACGTACAAGCTAATGAATGGAGGCATTGTGTAGTGTTAGTTCTTGAGTTCATTTTATCGCTTAAGTAACAAAAGATATCCATTCATGAGCATTGTTAATGAACATTATACGGTGTGATGAGAAGATGAGGTATACATGTCTGGATCACTCCATCGGTTGGTGGGAAGCAAAGGTGAAGGTGAGCGGGAGGAAAAGTTACCCATTTGCAGACTTGCAGTTTCATTATAACTTGACTTGTGGAGATTTGGATGTCAGGCTGTATTTAGCTGTTAAAAACACGGGGCATAAAAGCTTGGATTTTCAAGCCATAAGTTGAATGTGCAGATTGTATTTTGGACCACAAAATCCTTCATTGCATAATGGTGGGAGTGATTACTCGAATATGTTAGGCCTGAAATGGCCATTAACCACAAAAATAAGCGTAGCAAATTTTTTTTTTTCAAACGTCACTTGGTTTGCATCGAAAATATATTTTTTAATTAATTTTTTATCTTCTCAATTATATTTTTATTTTCTATACATTATATCATAAAAAGTGTTATAATAATTATTCCAAATTATCTCCAATCTAGGTACAAGGTTTCCTAACACCAGTTTAGGCTTTGACCTAATCATCATTACTATATAAAAAACATGAATCTTAGTAAAGTACTTTTTTTATCTTAGTTTTTGCTATCCCTAAATTACCCTCGTGTCTTTTAATTAGAATTATTACATTTCAATGTGCCACTAATTAAAAGAAATAAAATACTCTAATTGTTTACATTTCAATAGTATTGGTAATTATAATTAAAAATTGCTCATTAAAAACTACTTACCTAACCTTGGTCTCCATCTCCAAATATTATAAGTATCAAAATTTTGTAATCGAAGCATGAAAAGTTTCTCATTAATCATTATTTGAGATTGTAAAAAAAAAATCAATATAAAAAATAGATACTTTTTGGAAAAAAGAGAAACATAAAAGAAGAAAAGAGCCCTTATTCATTTGTATATTTTCATACAAATATCATGAGCAAATTTAACAATTATGCACTTTTTACCAATATGAAAAACTGAAAAAAAACAAAATATAAAACAAAACTATTTCAATCAAATGAATTTTAACTAAAAATTAAATAACCAATATAAAATGATTGAGTAATATGAATAATTTACATTCTCTATTGATAACAAAAAAATGCTTAGATAAAATGTAAGTAGTCCAAAATTCATGTTTGAGGGCTTGGATTTGTCCATAATTTAAAATACGAAATGTTTGGTTCTTAATTTGTGCTGCTTATTAATAATTAATCCAATCGCTCACATCTTTCTAGATCAAAAGCCTTCGTAATTGTCAAGCAATCAAAAGTTACAATTCATGACCCAGCTTTGCATCATGTTAACACAGGTGATTTGAGTCATCTAATTTTTTTTTTTTTTAATTTTACTTCTAAAGTTGATGGCCCAAATATGAGTTTTGTCAACTTTGTTTCATCTGAACTATTAATTGTACTTATATAATTGTCCTAAGAAACCACTCTTTAATTTTTCTAATGTAATTATTACCATCCTATGGCATTCGGCAGCATTAGTAGGTCAAAGAACCACTACGAGAGGATCCTAGGCTTTATTGCGTTACTTTATTTATATATGTATGCATGTGTTTTGTGTGGAACACCAGAATTCAAACATGTTTATTCCAGTCTTATGAAATTGTGTGCTTGTGAACAAGGGATCAAAAGTATGGCAGCATTTTGTGCATAGAATGCTAGTGAGGTTCTTTTAATTGTGCAAAATTTGTATTAGTTGGACTCGTATTCACTTAGATTCTATTTAATAACCCAATTCAACACTAAAATTTAATGGATTTAGATCGTAATATATTTAAACGTATTTGATAACAATAAAATAAAACATTTGAATTAATTAAGTGGTACTAAATTTCTTAGGTAAAACTTGCCAAAATAAATAAATGATAAACTATTCACTTATTACTTAATGTGATATACATTCAAATGTATCAGATTTAGTATTTAGAGATTCAGTAACTTAATGAATTACGATTTCATATTATAGATTTCAGAGTTCAGTTTTCAAATTTCAATTTTATCAAACGCACTGCTAATTTCATACGCTAAATGTTCTTTTGTGCAATTTATCATGAACTAGAAATTTTAGTACAATTCATCTCTCAATCTTGGATATTTCAAAAGCACAGAAGAGGTGTGTCATTTGGTTATCATCATTACTTAAGTCCTGTTTGATAACGTAATTCAACACTTAAACTTAATAGAATTAGATCTTAATATATTCAGACCATTTGATAACCAAAAATTAAACATCTAAATTAATTAAGTGGCAATGAATTTTCTAGGCAAAATTTGCTTCCAAAATTAACTGATAAGCTATTCACTTATCATTAAATGTGATATGCACCCAAATATATTAGATTTAATACTTAACAATTCAATAATTTAATAGATTCAGACTTCAAAATTCAGTTTGATGTTAAATTGTCAAAATATATTGTCGTGAAAAGTCAAGTTTGATGTTAAATTGTCAAAATTGCAGTCAAAAATTGATCGTGAAACCTTTTCCTTGGTTGTCAGTTATATCATGGAGATGGGGAAGAAGAAGATGGTATTTAGGTGTAATAGTTAATGAGTACTTTAGGAATTGCAATAGAATTTTCTATTGACTTTACTGAAACTCAAACAATCAACGTTGTTGGATTAGCAGTAGGGGTGCATGTGTTATAAATTTCTCAAGCGAAAGGTCTTTTTGTAGTTTTGCTAAAATTGAGAGTTTGTTTGGTTATTTGGCTAAATCTCAAGCAAAATAAATGTAATTAACCCTAGAACAAAATTACAAACGACACTTCTATTACTTATTTATTTCTTTATTTCTTTAATTTCCCTACATTAAATGTTAGACTTGTAGATTTGGAAAACTCAAAATTCTTGATTTGTAAATAACATCAGTGCTATTAGTATTTAAAGGATGATTACTATTTATGATTAAGATACTAACACTTCAGAGATATCTAGCTAATTTAAAAAACACCAAAACATTTTTATAGAGTATTTGTGTTACGGTGTACAATTTTAATTCTATGTGAATTCAAATTTTAGGTAATTTCTTAATTATTCAAACAAAGAATTTGGGATTTCAATTGAATTACGTATCAATTCTATGTCTTTCCCAAACAAAAAAAAATATCAATTATTTGAAATTCCAGTTCTACAGAATTTCTATTCCAATTCAATTCTAATTTTATAGAACAAACGCAGCCTTAGTATTTTCATGCGTATTCACCATATCCTCTCTGCTAAAGCTTTCTCTTTCTGTCCACGGTCCCTTTTCTCTGCGATTCAAGAAATGTTACTGAGAACAAAACTCAAACACCTCACCTACAAACACATAATCCCCCTTATCCGCTCGCTCTCTTACCTCAATCCTCAGCCTCAGGTGTCCCAGCAGCAGCAGCCTTCTTCTCTACGGCGACAACAAGATCCATACTCCCTCCTAAAAGAAGAACCGATTCAAATCCTCGCGGACCTCTGGGTCAAAACGTTCTCCCAACGCCAACAACCAAAGCCCTTCACCAACCTCACTGGTTTCCTCTCAAAATTCGATCTCTGGGTCCTCGCTTACCAGAGAACTTGCGCCCACGTAAGCGGCACATTCCCACCTCGTAATGCTCTTCACTCGGATGTTCTGTGCGACGTGTTGTCACTGAGAAACGCCGTGGTTCGTAACAAGTTTTCATGGAACTGCAAGACGCATCAGTTTATTCGTGGCCCCAATGAAAAACCCCTCACCAAGTTACTCTCGAGACGCCAACTGAACCCAATTTTGACGTCCAAGAATCCACCGTTTCAAGATCGTGTTGTGCAGGAGGTACTCTTCATGATTCTGGAACCCGTTTTTGATCCACGGTTTTCATCCAAATCACATGCTTTTAGGCCTGGGAGGAATGCGCATACGGTTATTAGGACTCTTAGGAGTAACTTTGCAGGATACTTGTGGTTTTTGAGGGGCGATTTAAGTCCAATTCTTGATGAGGTTGATGTAAATGTGGTAATGCGATGCATTGAAAATGCTGTGAAAGATAAGAAAGTTCTGAACTTGATAAAATCTGGGTTAAAAGGCGCTGTAAATAACTGTTTAACTGATGTTGAATGTGAAGGGAAAATGAAGAAGAGCAAGAGGAAAAAAGGGCGGACAAAGAAGAGAATCTTGAGTGAGAATGAGCCAAAGCCAGACCCGTATTGGTTGAGAACGTTTTTCAATTTTGCACCTGAGGAGGCTGCAAAGGTGCCGAACTATGGATATTGCGGGATACTTAGTCCTTTGCTGGCTAATGTGTGTCTGAATGAGCTTGATCAAATGATGGAAGAGAAGATAATTGAGTTCTTTAAGCCCTGTGAACAAGATTCTATATGGAAGTACTCGATAGAAGATGGCTATCATAACCCTTCTTGGCCGGAGTTCGTTCCATCTGGTGGGAAGGAGAAGACGAGGAAGATGGATTACGTTAGATTTGGGGGTCATTTTCTAATTGGGATTCGGGGAACTAGAGAGGAAGCAGTGGGAATTAGGAAGGATATAATTGAGTTTTGTGAAAACAATTTTGGCATAAGGCTAGACAATTCCAAATTTGAGATTGAGCATATTACTAGGGGAATTGATTTTTTGGATCACACACTGTGTCGTAGGATCATATATCCTACTCTTCGTTACACTGGGACAGGTGGAAAGATAGTCAGTGAGAAAGGTGTAGGAACTCTGCTTTCAGTCACAGCTAGTTTGCAGCAGTGCATTCGTCAATTTAGAAGGCTCGAGTTTGTGAAAGGTGATAGGGACCCAGAGCCACTCCCTTGCACCCCAATGCTTTATTCGGGACAAGCTCATACTAATTCTCAAATGAACAAGTTCCTTGAGACCATGGCAGACTGGTATAGATATGCAGATAACAGAAAGAAAATTGTTGGGTTTTGTGCTTATGTCATTCGAAGTTCTCTTGCTAAACTTTATGCTGCCAGGTATAGATTGAAATCTCGTGCCAAAGTCTACAAGATTGCTACACGTGATCTTAGTCGTCCTTTGAGGGAGAGTAGTAATAACTCTGCACCTGAGTATTCAGATCTTTTGAGGATGGGGCTTGTTGATGCTATTGATGGTGTACAATTTTCTCGCATGTCTTTGATTCCTTCATGTGATTACAGTCCATTCCCTAGGAATTGGATCCCAGACCATGAGAAAGTGTTGCATGAATATATCAACTTACAAGATCCGAAGTTCTTTTATGAACTGCAAAAATCACTCAAGCAACAAGTTCTATCATCACCCCAAGATGACATGTCTGAGATTGTGTGGAGTTGCAAGACACTTGGTATCCAAAACTACTGCCTTAATGGTGCGACAGAGGTGCATGATGCTTCTCCAACAGTTAGAAGGTGAATAAGAAAGCAATTTGATCGCTGAAAATAGAATTTTAGTGATGCTGCTTATTGTAAAAGGACTATTGAGCAAAGCAGATAGTGCTTTCCACAACTTCAGGTTGATACTTCTAAAGTTGGACTTCACTGCTTCCTATAGTATGAGTTATGCTTGAATGAACTTGTGTCCAGTTTTAAATGGCTGTTACAAAGGTGGATAGATGGACATTGGAGATCAGATTTTCTGTTGAAATATTACAATCTAGTTATTCAGTTGATTTGGTACAGGGTTGGGCCCTTGAAAGGGAGGTGGAGTACCTACCAAACAGGTTGTCGATGGATTGATTTGATGTGCCTAAAAGTAACTTGATTCTACATATAGGTTGAAATTGATGTTTATTATCATGTAGTAATTTGTTACATGTTATGAAGTGTGTGGACTGGACTGTTAATTATGTGAGTTGTCGTAGCTGTTCACATACCAAGTGAAGGTTAGTATTGCTAGATGTATAGAAGTGAGATGATTCTTTGATAAAAGTGCCCAATCAAATGGAAGGTAATTAGTTTAAGGAAGTTGACTGTCTATAATACATATACAGATTTCGAATGTATACTCATGAATCTATTGATATCCTTGTATAACTCACTAGTGCCCTTTTCAACAGTCTGAAAACGAATCTGAGAGCAAAGTGACAGGCTTATCTTACCTACTCAAACATTCTGTGCATCCAACTGCCAAGGGTAAGAGTTCAGGGATTGATATGTTACATATGTACACTATTGGTTGTTAGTCACCAATATTTTCAGAATGTTACATAAATTTTGGGTGCTTGTTTCCACAAGTATGCAACTTCCTTGACACAGTTATATGAAAACTTATATTTGCTCAACAGTTTCCAGAATTCTTCTAGTGGCATTACCCGCATGCTTAAGAAAAATTTTGATAACCTGGTTTTGCATGGAGTCCTGTAGTTGTACGTGGTGCCTGGTGTCGTAGGTGCTGCTTGTAGAATTTGTAGCTTATTTAGTACTAACAGTTTATGATGTCTATTATTTATGTCCGTGGGTTTGGGAGACAACTTACACAATGTCATCAGTAATGTTGCTTCAAATTGCTATATAGAAATAAGGCAAAAGTTTAAGGAAACAGCAACAGCAATAAAATAAGTTGTTTAGAAGAAACATAATTGAAAGTGAACTTTTTGTTCAATATATGAAGCAAATCCTTTAACAAAAATTTACTTTATTATGCATATGCCTATATCTTTCCTTTGTTTGAGCAACTTGGGGATACTGTTATTGCCCAAAGGATAGGTATATTATTCCATGCATACAATTTGTGTCCACTTTCCAGTTATAAAGCTAATTGTTTGTGTTGTTTATACCCTTAATCGGTTATTGGCAATTCTTGAGACCACCACAGATTAGTTAAATTTTCACTATAGGTGCACTTATGTATAGAAAGACAGCCTGCATTTCTTTACCTCTAAGCTGAGGGAAAGCACATTAAGCATGTGCTGAATGTTTTGCATTTTCAAATTTAGAATTATTCTGTTCTTGTGAATACATTTTTGTATGGGTATGGGAAGAAATCTTGAAGTTCTTAGACTCAAGACAAAATGATGGCCCAGGTTTTATTCTTTTCCACCGGTGACCAAATTCCCCAAAAGCAGCAGTTGTTGCTGCTGTTAGTTGTTGTGAATGTGTTGTTCCAGTTGGCTGGCCTCTCTTTTCAGGTATATTTAGCACCTGATCCCTTTAAAGTGTTCCTAATCTATACAATCTAGCTGTACGGTTTTCTCTTTTTGTACGCTTAGAATATTTGTTCTGTTGTGTACACTGATTTCTTGTGGGAATAGATCAATCATAAAACTGAATTAAATTAGCTTTATCTCTGAGAACTAAAGTTAGTATTGGAATAAAAAATTTGGTATCAATGATACTGCTGGCTTCTTTGGGAATTTATGGATACTAAAATTTGTAACTGAGCTTATTGGTCCACTTTGATGTTAAATTGGTTGCTGTGCAAAAGGATATTGTAGATTCAGGTAAAATGGCATTTGTTCTTGTTTGAACCCCAAAAAACCCAAAATAAATAAATAAATTAAACTCAACCCTGGAACAAGATGTCTAATTATTCCTACATCTATGTGATCAGTTTTTTGCTGCCTCTAATGTGTTGATCTCCTTTTCTATTATAATCTGGTTCATCATGGATGGGAATGTATGATTGAGTTCACGATTAACTGCTTTGATTTCTCACTTGATATATGGTTGAATAATCTACTTTCAATTGTTCAAAATCTGAGCAGTAAAATTTGATGAAACACATAATTCTAGATGCAAATTGGTTTTTTTCTGTTTTCCTATTCTGATCTGTTCTGTAATAAAGTGCTGCCATATTCCATATGAAGGATAAGAAGAAGCATGTTTTGCAGTTTTGGAAGAGTATTCCATCCTCCATATTCTCAATGAATTGTATTACTTTTGAAGTTTTGGTGCAGGAAAGGTAAATGCAGCTTGATATTGGCTAAGCCTTCTCCTTCCAATAGGAACTTCTTTCAATCTAACTGATTAAGTGGATTTCTATTCGAGTTCTTCCTTTTTGTGTATACTGCACAATCTGTGGTAAGTAGGAAGTATGATTTGTCGCATTGGTTGGGTACATCTCTTCCTATACTAGACCATGGAGCGGGAATGGTGAGTTATTTCTCAGCAATTATATTCAACATTTATAACATACTAGTTTCTGCTATGAACCTTGGACACGTCATGATAATGATGATAGCCATCTAGGTACTCATATGAACTTGAAGTTGGTGATCCCACTATGCTACTCTCCAGTTCTTCCTTTTTGGATATACTGCATAATCTATAGTAAGTATGATTTGTGGTGTTAGTGGGGTACATATCTTCCTAGACTAGACCATGGAGCAGGAATGGTGAGTTATTTCTCAGCAATTATATTCAACATTTATAAATTATAGTTGACATTTTTAACTTACTAGCTTCTGCTATTAACTTCAGTCACTTCATGATAATGTTTATAGCCGTCTAGGTACTCGTATGAACTTGAACTTGGTGACACCAATATGCTACACTCAAGACCCCAAGCTTGACCTCGATGGGTATAGGTTAATGGTCTCCTTACCAACTCTGCTTCATCTCTCTACTTAGAATAGCATAATATACCAAATTCCTTTCATCTACTGGTTTTCTTCATTGTTTGTTCTGTATTTCATATTATCATCATAAAACCTGTTCTACTGGATTTTCTAACAGAAAGCCTGTGAGATTTCTTTGGACTTGCATTTCTTTAGACTAAAAGGTTTCCTGACATGTAATTGGAGGACTTTTAATGTATTCTTACACTAAGACAAGGATGCTTCACAATGATTTAACTTAATCTTGGGTGCTGGCAGGCAAAGGAAACATGCACAAACTTTTTCTTGTTTTGTGTAAGCTAATTCTTTAAGTTTCGGTATGTGAGTGTTAATCCTCCCAATTGATGTCAGAATTTTGAACATCTGAGTTGTTGGAGTGGTGAATATTACATACTTGGAGCTAGAATTCCCATCTGCTTCTTGAAGTTCCCGTTGTCGAATGCTTGTCTTTCCTCTTGCTTCACTATTTTGAATACTTCAGCATTGCAGTATTAGAATGAACTTCACCAGATTTTTTTCACTGCTCTGAGCTGTTTTCTTCTTGTTTGCATGTAAATTCAAGGAAAGGATGCACCTGGATGTAAAGGGTAGAACCCCAAAGTATTTTAAAGTGCTCTCTCTGGCACTCAGTGCCAAAATTGTCAAGGAAAGAGAACCGCGGATTTAATGCTTTGTTATAATGTGTCAAAATTGAGGAGCTTCCTGCAATTATCATGAACCTCAAGAGTGGCATGCAAAATTATCCCGAGGGATAATTATATTTTACAGTGGGCAAAACTCACAATGCAATCGTCAAGTAAAACTCCCCTACATCACGTGTCAATTAGTCTGCAGTATGGAGACCCTTTTATTTATTTTTTTTACAGGGAATATTGATCGTTTAGAAGAATTTTGTTTAATGCCCGCAGGATTGATCACATTGTTGTAAAATGGAGAGCCAAAAAATAAAGAGCTAGAGGAATGGATGGATTAATTAGTATCTGTTTCAAAATTAGGGGTCTGCTGGGGAGTGTATTTTTTGGGAATATATTACACAAGTTTTTTGTAAACTTTGTCCGCGGTAACCTCAGAAATATCCCAAAATTTTTAAAATATACATCCCAAAACATCTTTCCTTTCCTTTCATTGGGGGAGAAGAAGGAAAAAGAAAAGGAAAATAAAAGAAAATTAAAAATAAAAAAAGTTCACTTTCTCAACAAATTTTTCTACGAATTTTACAGTAAATTAGAATAAAGTTTTATATAAATATCCCAAAAAATACACAAATATTAAAAAAAATACACCATTGAAATGGACACTAGGATGAAAAAAAATTAGTTAGTTGTACGTATAACTTGACTATTGGTATAGAACTTTCAGTCTAACATGTACTAGACAAATATTTCACTCTGTCTTGTGGATAGCTAAGCCCATTCATTAGATACGATTGGCAATTTATTAAAAAAAAAAAAAAGCTCTCTATCTTATATGTGACAATTGTGTTTGGTTTTACTTAATAATATCATGTTTGCAATAATGCGAAAAGGTCTAGCTCCTGTTGAAGAAAGATGGGATAGAAGAAAGATGGGACAAGGTAATGATTCAAGATGAGTGCAAGTTGGTAATTGATATGATTAACTCAAATGAGATCATGGATTATCAAGTGGGGCCAATCATCGAAGATATCATGGCTATGAAGAGCAGGTTCCAATATATCTCTTTTACTCATGTTAAGAGATTAGGAAACAATGTGAGTCATTTGCTAGCCAAGTTTGCTATGAAACTATGTAATGTTGTTAGATGGAAAGAGTGTTTTCTCCTTTAATTGTAGTTTGCTAGAAGTCGGGGTGGCAATTTTCGACACGACCTGAAAACACGACACGAACCTAACACGAAATTAATGGGTTTGGGTTGAGGTTTCGGGAATTCGGGTCAGAATCGGGTTGGACCCGATGAACCCGAAAAGAAAACAGGTCGATTTCGGGTCAACCCGTGGCGACCTGATATGACCCGTTTACGAATTAAAAATAATTTAATAAACATAAAAATAATTTTATATAACTAAACTAAGTTATTCTTTTTTTCAAAGGCATTAATTACTTAATCCTAAATGAATTTATTTAATTTGTGTGAAGTTGAAATTATTATATTTAGACAAATAATATATTATTTTATTTTTTACTTTTATACTGTTTTAATTTATTTTATATTTTGTTTGGTATAAAACACTTTTACGGTGTTTAATTTATTTTAGATTTGGTTTGGAATTATTTATTTAAATTTTTATTACTTGATTATGTAATTAGTTTTGTGAGAAATTGATTTTATTAGAAATTACAGTGATAATTTAATAAATTAAAATTAAGTTTCGGGTCATTTCGGGTCGACCCGCCAACCCGTCAACCTGAAATTTTCGGGTTCGGGTCAGCATACCTGACCCGTCACGGGTTGGCGGGTCGGGTTCGGGTCAACAGATTTTCTGACGGGTTGACCCGAACCCGACCCGCCAACCTGATTTGGACCCGAATTGCCACCCTTAGCTAGAAGCATCCCAGTGTGATGGATGTTAGGACAGTGGGCCAAACGATGTAATTGTTATTCCAAGTGATATGAAATTGTTGCCGTTTTAGAAACCGAAAAAAAAAATTCGTGTTTTAATTAGCTTGACCTTTAAGGATGATTGCATAGTTTATATTTTTCTTTTGTACTAGAATTCTAAAATTGCTTGATTATTTGGTAAGAATCAATTTTTTTTTCGAAACAATATTAGTAATATATTGATCATCAACTGAACTTTACAGTTGGAGCAAAGGCCCCTCATTTCTATACAAAAAGTGCTCAATAACACAGAGGATTGATCCATTCCTCATTTGTATGATGCCTAAGGCATACTCACCAACTCTAATACTAACATGGTTATCATTTTTAGATATAACACCAAAAGAGCACATTTGAAACAAGGCTTTCAAGCTAAGAATATCATCAACTAAAGTATGCAGTTTGATATTTGATGCACTTCCGGCACAAATTTGTTGATGTAGGAGTTTGTTGCAGCTCTGAATGATGACTTTTCTCTAGCCTTTGACGACTAATTTACTCAAAGCTATCTTAATAGCCTCAGTCTCGTCCAATTGTGGACAATTGTAGCTTCTTTCATATATTGCCCAGGCTGCCACAATAACATTTCCTTCAGTCATGGCAGTCACTCCTATACCAACCACTTTACTGCTCGGTTTGTTTAGTGCAGCAATCTTAACTTCGATCACCTCTGCATTCTCTTCTTCTATCCTTTGCATTTGGTTAGCAGCAGTTTCTGTTGTACTCCCTTGCTCCTTATCTTTGTAGGCTTCGCAAAACTCCATCCATTCCTCTTGAGCTTTTAGTATTGTTGTCATTGCATGCCTTTGTTTGTTGTTGAATGCCAACTCATTTATGCTTTTCCATAGTTGCCATAAGATGTTAACTATTAGACCAAGGTGTTCATTACCATTCTGCCTAGATTTAGCTCCTGTAATTTTAGCCCACCAAGCCTTAAAACAGCCTTGTTTATCCTTAGCACCTTCCCATTGTACTAGTGCTATATGCCATACCTGCTTGGCCTGTCTGCAGTTCAGTAGCACATGTTCCACAGTCTCTACCCCTTCACCACATGCTTTACAGATGGGATCTCCTTTCTTAGTCCTACCAAAGATTACTTCATTGACTAGGAGAGCATTATTGATGCATTTCCACATGAAGGTCTTTAGTTTATGTTTGATGTTTAGTTTCCATAGGCAAGACCACATCTGTTTTACTGAATTGTGTGTACTAGTACCAGCCTCCTTATAGCCATCCCTTTCTTGGGTTTCCTTCTCTTTCATGAGTGCCTTGTATCCAGTGCTCACTGTGTACTGCCCCGTAGGAGAATGCATCCAGAAATTATTGTCCTCCTTTCCTGCTAAGCTGATAGGAATGCTTAGGATCCTTTTTGCATCCACACTATTAAACCTTCTGAGCACTTCCACTCTATTCCACCTCTTCTGAATGATTAAGTCTTGAACTTTCTGCACTTTAAATTGTGGAGGTTTGGGAGTTGAGGGCCTTCCTCCTTTGTTTCCTACTATCCACTTGTCCTCCCAGATATCTATCCTAAGACCATTTCCAATTTTCCTCCAGGTGCCATCCTCAACAAGCTGTTTAGCTCCCATTAGACTCTGCCAGATCCATGAAGCATTTTGTGGACTCTTGCATTTGAAGATGGAGCCAGTAGGGTAGTATTTTGCTTTCAGTACCTTGGAGATAAGCAAGTTTGGGTTTACAAGTAATCTCCAAATTTGCTTACCAAGCAAGGCTCTGTTAAAATTGACCAAGTCTTTGAACCCAAGTCCTCCTTGATTCTTCTTTTGGGTCATTCGCTTCCAGGAGCATAGATGCATCTTATCCTTTCCATTAGTGTCTCCCCACTAGGAGCTTGCCATTAGAGCACTGATCTCCTTGCACAGTTTCAAAGGTAGTTTAAAGCATAACATAGCATAAGTTGGCATTGATAAAGTCACTGCTTTTAACAAGACCTCCTTCCCTGCTTGACTTAGCAATCTCTGCTTCCATCTTCCAAAATTCTTTTTAATGTTGTCTCTGATGAATCCAAAGATTTGTTCCTTTGTCCTTGTTATCACCATTGGTAGCCCTAGGTATTTGGCTTGGTTGACCATCTGGATATTCCCCAGTCTGCAGCAAACTTCTAGCTTTTTCCCATGGTCCATATTTTTGCTGAAGAAGACAGAAGACTTTTCCAGATTGATTAGCTGTCCAAAGCTCTTTTCATTTGCCCACCAGGATCCTCCTCAGCTCCTCAGCTTGTTTGGTGTCTGCTTTACAAAATATTAAGGAGTCATCTGCAAAAAATAAATGTGTTAGTCTAGGACCATTTCTGCTGATTTTGAGTCCAGTAATCTTCTTGTCCTCTTCAGCTCTTTTCAACAGATTTGATAAGCCTTCTGAGCACAGTAGGAAGAGATAGGGTGAGAGAGGATCACCCTGTCTTATTCCTCTCTCTGGAACTATATATTCCTTAGCCTCACCATTTATGTTGAAAGAATAAGAGACTGATTCAACACATTTCATAATCCAGCTAATCCACCTGCTACTGAAACCCTTTTTTTGCATCATGGCCCTCAAAAAATGCCATTCCACTCTATCGTAAGCTTTAGACATATCAAGCTTAACAGCCATGTACACCTCCTTCCCTTGCCTTTTATTTTTCAGAAAATGCATGTATTCATGGGTTATGATAACATTGTCTAGGATCTGCCTACCAGGAATAAAAGCAGATTGGGTTTTGCTAATACAGATATTTAACACAGCTTTAAGCCTATTAGCTAGTATTTTGGAAATCACTTTATAAAGCACATTACACAAGCTAATAGGCCTATAATGCTTCAGATTGACAGGATCTTTAATTTTTGGGATGAGGGAGATTAAGGTATGATTCAGGGCTCTAGGCATGGAATTGGAATGAAAAAAGCTCTGGATAGCCTGGACTACCTCATGTTTGATAATAAACTAGAATTTCTGGAAAAAAATAGGGGTCATACCATCCATCCTAGGAGCTGTATCAGGAGACATAGAGAAAATGGTTGCTTTGATTTCTTCTTCATCAATACCTCTAGCCAGTTGATCATTCATGCTAGCCGTAATGGTGGATGGAATACCTCTAAGGATCTCCTCTGCTCTACCATTCCAATTACTAGTGAAGAACTGCCTGTAGTAATCTGCCACTTCCTCCCCTAACTCTTGCTCATTCTCGGTCCAAGATCCATCTTCCCTTTGTAGATTCAACATTCTGTTTCTCCTCCTCCTTCCCTTGACATGAGCATGAAAGAATTTAGTATTCTTATCCCCCTCCTTTATCCAGTTAAGTCTAGCTTTTTGGTGCCAATACAGTTCCTCCTCCTTGTAACCCTTTTTCAACTGCTCTTTCAGATCCATTATCTCTCTTCTGGTGCCAGTCTGAGTGCTAGA